ATGTGTAAGGCTAAGGGTTAAGGTGAGGTTTTAGAGGAGGGAAACGATGATGCTCACGATGAATGATTTACAAAGGTGGACCCAAAGCAAGAACTATCTAATATCGAGACCTTGAACGAATGAAAAAAATGCATAACATAAGCAAAATTAGGACTATACAACAAGGGAAGAAAATTGATTCCCAAAGATGATAAATTGATCCTTATTTATTTGCCCCCTTTTCTCTTTCTCTTTTACTCCTTTTTTTTTCTTTCGATTATTTTTTGATTTCTTCTTACTATTTTTTTACGGGGGATGAGACTAAAAGACACTACATTGATGTTCAATACCTCTTTTCTAAGTAGTAGAAGACAAAATGATGCAATAGAAGGTGCAGTGGCAGAATGCCTATGCAGTGTCAAACTGCATACTGTAGTGGCAAAATGCATCTCTCAACTATAGCTTCAACTACTACCTTAGAACATCAACTTTATTTACAAGACAATGAAAATGGTTCAATATATTCACACAAAATACCTCATTCCTAGTGAGAAGGGTTCAACGGGGAATTCAAGAAAAGGGTAAAGGTGAGAGGTGTGATCGAACCGAAAAACAAGGCCAAGTCTCAAAGAGGTTGATCCTAGTTGTCAATGATAGGGTAGGCTTTTTGGCTCGAGTTGTATTAATTGTCACTATCGTTTATGCTTTCATACATACAACACAATCCATTCGTGGTTTTGATCAAGATTACCGAAACACAAAGTAATGAAAAACTTCACAGAATAGGAAATTGACGTTGAAGGTTCAAACTCAAGGCTACTAGATGCCATATCCTACTCTATACAGATTATACTCAATTTCACCTAAGTTGGGGCACAATTCAATTCTAGTGGGTGAATTTTAGTGAAAGGTACGTCATGTGAAACAGGCAATCCTACATGCAAACACAAGTTATGCATTTCAAGGTTAACTTGGGATAAACGAGAGGCATATTCATACACCTAAGCATAATAAGTTCACAAGCCATTCACGCAATCATTCCAAGCAATGACATTCTACCCTATCAAGTTCAAGACACAACACATCAAACACAGTGGGAACGGCTCACATTCACTAAACATTATGTACAATACATACTCTGGAAAAAAAACTAAAACTCTCCACCCCACACTTAGGATGGAACATTGTCCCTAATGTTCTGTACCTAGACTCTAAACATGCTAACACAAAATGAAAAATTAAGCAAAGGGAAAGGTGAAAAACCTCGGGACAAATGCTAGGCGGATGAGGTGGGAGGTGTTGGAAGGTCGCTCGGGCAATCAATTCCAATCTTCTTGAGACATATATAAAATTGGAAAATACCTTCCTCAACAAATTTTGAGCTCAAGCTTTATGGAGATGCTTCAAATGTCCTAAAAAGTGAAATTATAAAAAAATTGAAAGAAAAACAAACCTCGGGTTGCCTCCCAAGAAGCGCTTGTTTAACGTCATTGGCTCGACATTGGAATGGCTTAGTTTAGGCGATAAGAGGAGATCTCCAGCAGGGATGCTCCTTTTATGTATTGTTTGATTCTCTGGCCATTCACCTTGAACACTCCATTATCACCAAGAATCTCGATGACGCCATGAGGGAAGACTTTGGTCACCGTGAACGGTCCGGACCACCTTGATTTCAGTTTGCCCGGAAAGAGGCGGAGACGAGTGTTGAAGAGTAATACCTTGTCGCCTACATTGAATTCTCGCCTTACAATGTGTTGATCATGACACCTCTTCGTCTTCTCCTTATAGATTCGGACATTCTCGTAGGCATTGAGCAGATCTCATCTAGCTCATTCAATGGAAGGAGTCTCTTTTCTCCGGCTTGTTTCGTATCATAATTCAACTTCTTGATGGCCTAATACGCCTTGTGTTCGAGCTCCACCGGTAAGTGACATGCTTTGCCAAACACTAGCCGATATGGAGACATGCCTAATGGGGTTTTATAGGAAGTCCTATAGGCCCACAATGCATCATCCAACTTCCTCGACCAATCCTTCCGAGAGGAGTTAACGGTGGTCTCTAAGATGTGCTTCAACTCACGGTCGGATACTTCAACTTGTCTGCTGGTTTGTGGATGGTATGGTGTCGCAATGCGGTGTTTGACCCCATATTTGGCCAAGAGTGTATTCAGCTCGCGACTTGTGAAATGAGTTCCTTCATCACTTATGACAACTCGTGGCACTCCAAAACGGGTGACCAAGTTCTATCTCATAAAGTTCACCACCGTCTTTGATTCATTGGTTGGTAATGCGGCTGCCTCCACCCACTTTGATACATAATCGACAGCGACGAGAATGTATTTGTTGTTGTAGGATGATGGGAAAGGACCCATGAAGTCTATAACCCATACATCAAACATCTCCACCTCCAAGATTGGTGTTTGTGGCATCTCCATCCTAGATGAGATATTACATGTTATTTGGCATCTATCACATGCAGCAACAAAGTTACGGGCATCATGAAATAAAGAAGGCCAATATAAACCTGATTGTAAGACTTTTTCTGCTGTCCTTTGAGGTCCGAAGTGACCTCCTGCAGCTAAGCTATGACAAAAGTTGATGCACAATAGACTTCATTGTCAGGAATGCAACGCCTTATCATAAGATTGGCACAATGCTTATACAAGAATGGATCATCCCATATGTAATTCTTTGAAATAGTGATCAATTTATTGCGTTGTTGGTAAGACGCTTCAGGAAGCTTACCTGTTGCGAGGTAGTTTGCAATATCATCATACCAAGGGGATCCCTTCGTTATTATGGCAAAGAGTTTCTCATCGGGGAATGAGTCATCGATATCCAAATTGTCAATTGGAAGTGATTTTGCTTCCAACCTTGAGAGATGGTCGGCTACCAAGTTCGCCGAGCCTTTCTTGTCACGGATTTCTATGTCAAATTCCTGCAAAAGAAGAACCCAACGAAGTAGTCTAGGTTTGGCTTCCTTCTTATAAAGAAGGTGTTTGATGGCTGCATGATTAGTGTACGCAATGGTTTGTGAACCCATTAAATATGATCGAAACTTCTCAAATGCATAAACAACGTAACTCCAGTTATTCTTTCTCAATTATCGCATAATTCATTTGTGTATCATTAAGGAGTTTACTTGCATAGTAAATGGCATGTAACTTCCCTTCTTTCCGCTGCCCCAAAACAGCCCCTACTGCATAATCACTAGCATCACACATTAATTCAAAGTTGAGAAGTCATCCATGAAAACTTCAAGACTTGTTTCTATCATGTCGGAGAAGATAGTTGTCATGCACCGTTGGAAGGTAGCCAGTGCGTTGCACAACCCAAATGGAATTCTTCGGTATGCAAAAACTCCTTGAGGGCATGTAAAAGTTGTCTTCTCTTGGTCCTCCGGTGCAACTGGAATTTGAAAGTAGCCGGAGTAGCCATCTAAAAAACAATAGTGAGAATGACCATCCAACCTTTCGAGCATTTGATCGATGAAAGGAAGTGGAAAGTGATCCTTTCGGGTTGCCTCATTTAACTTCCTATAATCGATACAAACACGCCATCCGGTGACAGTTCGAGTTGGTATGAGCTCATCCTTGTTATTTCTCACCACGGTAATTCCACCTTTCTTTGGGACAACCTGCACAAGACTCACCCACTTGCTGTCAGAAATAGGGTAAATAATTCATGCATCTAATAGTTTTATTACCTCCTTTCACACAACTTCCTTCATATGTGGATTGAGCCTCCTTTGGGCTTGGGTTGAGGGTTTGTAACCCTCTTCCATGAGTATCTTATGCATACAAAAAGTTGGACTTATACCCGTAATGTCGGCAATAGTCCATCCTATGGCTTTGATATGTCGTTGCAAGATTCTCAAAAGCTCTTGTTCCTGAGAAAGTGTTAGTGAAACCGAAATTATGACAGGCAATGTGGAATCCTTACCCAAATATGCATATTTGAGGTGACTATGTAGTGGCTTTTTCTCTAGCTATGGTGGTTGAATTCTTGATGGAACTAGCATTTGGCGAGTTTGAGTTTCTCCTTCATTCTCAATCTGCATGGGTAAAGCCTCAAGCAATTGTGTCCTTTTTGACACGGCTAGGTTTTCATGTTCAACGTCATCACCAAAAGCATCAAATCAGAATCAGAATCATTGTTGAGAACTTTTTCGGTGCATGATTATATCACATCCACCACACATACATCATCATAAGAGTCGGGATACTTACTTGATCGGTAAACATTGAATCGTACCTCTTCTCCACATACTCTGAATGTAAGTTCACCCTTTTAGACATCTATAAGTGCACCACCTATGGCGAGGAATGGTCTTCCAAGAATGAGAGGCACCTCCCGATCCTCATCCATCTCCAAGATCACAAAATCTGCCGGGAAGATGAACCTTCCCACTTTAAATAGCACTTTCTTCACCACACCCTTTGGAATCTTCAATGATCGGTCCGCCAATTAGAGGGTGATCCGTGTCGGTTTAATCACATCTCTCAACCCCAATTTGTTGTAAATTGAGTAAGGCATCTAGTTGATCCCTGCTCCAAGATCACAAAGTGATTTAGTGAAATCCTTATCTCCAATGGTGCAAGGAATGGTGAAGTTCCCCGGATCGTCTCTTTTTATGGTATTTTATTTTGAATCACTACACTACACTCATAGGTGAGGGTTACCTTCTCAATATCGGACCACTTGCGCTTCTTTGCAAGTAACTCCTTCAAGAATTTTGATTAGGTATGCATTTGTTCTAATGCTTCCGCCAAAGGTATGTTGATATGGAGTTGTTTGAAGAGGTTTACGAACTTTTTGAATTTTGGGTCTTCCAAGGGCTTCATCAACCTTTGAGGGAAGGGTGCAGGTGGTTCATAAGGTTCAACCACCTCATCTTGTAATTTTTCATGTTTTGTATGTGCAGTTGACGAATGCATGTGTAGTGGCAAAGTGCTTGCATTTTGACCATGCACATCTGCTTTTTCATTTTCTTCAGCTGAATTTTCTGCATCTTTTCCCATGCCTGATTGCTTCTTTTCATTTGGATCTTCTAACTCCGCCCTGCTTCTTAAGGTGACGTCTACCACCTTGGCATCCCTTGGATTCCTCTCCGTGTTTGCGGAGAGAGTACCCGGGATGCGACCTTGAATGTCCGCCAATGTTTGAGCCATTTGACCCATTTGTCGCTCCATTGCCAAAATGGATGATTGCACATTATTGTTGAGGGCCAATTGTTGTTGAATGTGGGTGCTTGTATGTGTCATAAATTTATCTAACCCCTTCATATTGTTGTCTGTTTTCTGCAAGTAGGCAAGAATCAATTCTTCAAGATTCGACTTCTTCTCCTCTCGAGGTTGTTGAGGTTGAAACCCCGATGGTGGGTTGTTGGGACGAATTCCAGTGGTGTTGTTATTTGACCATGAAAAGTTTGGATGTTTGCATCATCCCGGGTTGTAGGTGTTGGAGTAGGCATCGCCTTGGTTTCTTTGATTATTGATAAATTGAACTTCCTCCAATTGGATAGCTCCTATGGGGCATTGTTCTCAATGATGAGCACTTGCACACAACTCACAAGAAATATTTTGGTCAGCGGAAACGAGAGAGAGGTTGGCCACTCTCCGTTCAAGTGCATCGAATTTGGCATCCAACTTGGCTTCGATTCGTGCTTCCAAGCCGGTGAATTTCTTGACTTCATGCATACCTCCTCTCCTTCGTGATCTCTTTTCTCCACCCCATTCATTAGCATCGAAGCACATGTTCTCTATGAGGTCATAGGCGGCTCCGGGCTCCATAGAAGTAAATCCTCCACCGGATGCCGTGTTCAAAGCTTGCCTGAACTCTCTTCTAATCCCATCAAAGAAAATGGTGATCACATTCCACTCCTCGAGGTTGTGGCTTGGGCACTTCAGCAAAAGCTCTTTGTATCGCTCCCAAGCTTCACTTAGGCTTTCATCGTCGGCTTGTACAAAGTCTACAATCTCCTTTTGGGCTTTCATGGCTTTAGCGGGTGGAAAATATTTGTCAAGAAATGCCTTCTCTAGCTGTGCCCACGTGGTGATAGATCAAGGCGCCAGGTTTTGGAACCAATGAGCCGCTCAACCTATTAATGAGAATGAAAACATATGCAGCCGGATTGCATCATCAGACAAGCCAGGATTCTTCATGGTATCACAAATGCTACAAAATCTTCTCAAATGGTCACGAGTATCTTTTGTACTTGCTCCTGAGAATGTGTAGCCATTTGTGATCATGTTGATGAAGGATGGTGTGATGTCGAGATTGGTGTTGCCGGTTGGAATGACAACCCCTGAAGCTCAGGCTCCAGTTCTTCGATTCAGCTTGCCTTGGATGGTTCGATCTTCAGGTGGGTCATTCCTCCCTTCACGATGTTGATTGTTGTTGTGGCCTTGGGTAGCTCCCTCCTCCATTTTGCCTATAAGTGAAGAGATGAAACCCTTCTCCTCGTCTTGATGGCCTTTCGGAGAGGTAGGTGCTGATTTAGATTGGATGACTTTTCCTATCCTCGCCTGCTTCCGGTACTTACACGCCTTCTCGATTTCGTGATTTAGTGGCAACAACTCCCTAGTCTCCCTTCTTAGCATACGCCAAGAAGAAATATTCTGAACTTTTATGCACACTTAAACACAAATCAAAATAGTTCACTCAAACAAAAATTTATTAAAACTGAATTTTTGGCACTCCCCGGCAACGGCGCCAAAAACTTGGTGGCAACAAAACTGCAAGTGCACAGTGTCGTACAAGTAAGAAAGTGTAAGTAAAATTATCGTTCTCTAGGGGATTGGTGAAATTCAATAATTAACAAATTTAGCTCAAGAAACTATAGGAATTCCAAAGGTTGTAATCAAGTGATGATTTGCAAAGATTGCACAAATTAAGTAATTCGATAAAGCAACTATTTTGGAGAAACTGATATTGGAGAGTTCCGGGGGAAACACAAGATTTTACTATTTTACCTTAGTAAATTTAATTACCCTTGCCAATCAATTTAATCCATATTTCTACAGTCAAGATACCTCTAAATTGATGGCTATCTCCATCGAGAATTACCACGTACTAACTAATTAAGACAATTTCTACTATCATTGTTAATTGAATGAATTAATTAGCCTTGAGAACGATATCCCTAAAATGACTGCATAATTCCCTATTTAATCCACTATCACTTCAATAGGCAATTATGCCGTGTGAAATGTGTTCGGTTACTAGGTTTTCACTATCGTTGTTAACCTAGAAAACTACAAGTCATTGTGAAGGTGGCCAATCAACACAGAAACAATTTCACACGATAGAAAGAACATAAACGTGCTAATGTTCAACATCATAACTAACTACCAAAACAAAGGAGTAGAGAAAGTAGTAAGTGTTGAAGTTAATCCCCAACTTACAAGAGTCTTCCTTTCTTCAAAATGCTCAACTCCAAAGTGTGCCAAAGTGAGCTTTCTCCTTTGATTTTTCTGTCTAAAACTAGTTTCCAAAAGTGTCCCCCAAGTCTCCTAGTTGCTGCCCATTTCAAATCCATTTTCTGCTGATTTAATCCCACAAAACAAGACACTTGCATATCACATTTCCAAGAGAAGGCTACTGCCAGTTTAAGTCTCTTTCTTTGCAATAAATTCTTGCATCATTTTCTCTGTTGGTGAGCCACCAAATCCATTTGCTCACTTCAAGAAATTTGATCCAATCCCAATAATTTCTGAGGGCTGCTGACAGTTGAGTGAAGATTCCAACCACAATAATTCAATTTGGGTCTTCATCGATTTGGCCTCCTGCTGGACGTTTGCCTCTGCACATCTGCATTTTGACACTGCACCTGCATTCGTCCACTGCAGTTTGTTTTGTTCACAATCTTAGCTTCAATCTGTGTTAAATCGCTACATGTCTTTGTAATGAAACTAGGGTCATTCCATGGTCAATATGAACTAATTTAGAGCAATTTAAACACATACATACATACATACATAAAAATCAATAAATTATGCACAAAATACATATATGTTTATGAAGCTTATCAACATGCTCTCCATCACGGAGCTGCACCCGCAGTGGCTCACAAACCCTCTCGTGCTTCGGTGGGCGAAAATTGCAGACTACAATGCCTATCCTTCTACCACCAATCCCCTACTTCGGATTCTGTTAAAAAATCCTTTCGGAAGAGTGTCCGCCAACTCCACCTTCGATCTTAATGGAAACTTGACAATCTAGATTAATCGATCCCACTAAGCTCCAACCGTGTGCAATTTCCCGAATTAGGTCCCTGGAGGGCAAGAATTTGGAACCGAAGGAGACGAATACATCATAGCAATTCTGTTTCTGGTCCAACCATTCAATGATGTCTTCTCTGTTCTTCTCATCTTGCTCTGTTTCATCATCTGCCACTAGCAAGGGACCCACGGGGAGGAACTTCTTTCCGATGAGATGGTTTAAATAGTCGAGGTATTTGCCTCCGATTTCTCAAAATGTTTTGATGATTATTGCCCGGGAGGTTGTTGGTATCGAGTTATGTCCTGGTCTCGTTCCCAGAGACGAATTGAAGAAAACATGATTGACTTTTTATCTGCACTAAATCTTTAGAAATGGGAAGCCATGACGACAGTGCGGCGCTGGTGGTGATGAATTCGACGGATGGGATGTGGAGAAGGGAAGCGGTGAGGCGGGGTGCACAGGGTGGAGGAAGTCGTAGATGACGAGGTATGGGGATACAGAGACGAGGACAATGGAGAAGGCTGAACTGGCATCACCAAAGGCGGACTTGAGTGAAGGTATGAAGTGAGAAGGAAGGTCGTTGGTGGTGTGGTAATGGGGAGGGAGTTGTGGGGAGGATGAGGGACGAAGCTCCACCAGTGTGATAGGTGATGAGGAGAGTTTTGGTTTTAATGGGTGAAGATTGACCCGTGTTGAGCACAAGTAGATGCTAAAGTTGCCAGCGGAGAGGCATTTTCCGAGTCCCAGAAAGGGGAGACATGGCCGTGAGCAGGGTGACGAGAAGTCGACCGATCAACTTATATCTTTGCATGTTCGTGGCCCAGGATTCAATATGGCGATGACTCAGCAACTTTGCCGACATGGATTGCCAGCAGGTCACGGAAAATTGCCATTTAGTACTTGACGTTACGTCTCGCGATGGAAATGCTAACTTTGCTACTGGAATTTGGCTTAAATGTTTGAGTTGATACCAAAACCGATTAAGTGACTAATGTGCAACAAATGCGCTAGTTAAGTGACACCCGATGCATTTAACTCTCACATCATCACTGTATGATTGAATTGAATAGAAATAATTTTTTTTAATTATGGTTGTTTAAAAAAAAGGCAAAATACACTTGTATAGCCAAAACTTTTGCATTTGTGCAAATAATAGCCAAATTTGGAGAAATACCACTTATAGCCACTTCCGTCCAATTCTTTAACGATGTTAGCGTTAAGTGTGACTGGACAAACGGAGATGCTTATGTCACGAGCCCTTATTTCCTTTTACTCGATAATTATCCTCGTGGATAACGATTAATTAAAAAAATAAATGACCAAAAATAATTAAAAAAACCCCTTCAAATTGAAAAGGAATTACACTGCTTACCACATTAGCCACATAAAAATCTAAAGAAACAAAACAAAAAAAAAATCCCCAAAAAATTTCCAACTCGAGCAGCACATCCCAAAAGGCAAAAACCCTTCCCGGTCCAGTGTCCACAGTTCCCGCAGCGACCGCCGCATGCATCCTCATCCCCCTTCATCTTCTTCCTTTCGCCAATAATAAGGGGAAATAATCTTCTTCTATCCATCCACAAATCGAAAGCAGACAAGCTCATAGGATCCATATAATCACTCAATTCCACACCCATCCACCAAAAAAATTCACAATCCCAAATTCACCAACCTATAGATCTGACAGTGTGGGGAATTAAAATGTTTGCTTTGACGCTCGGGGGAAGAGCTGGGGTAGTAGTGGGTCTGGTAGTGGTGGGGCATTTGGGGGTGGGTTTTGCGAACATCAATCAGAGGTCGATGGATGGCACCCGCGACAACGAGATCGTGATGGGAGGGTTTCAGCAGCGGCATAGCTTGGGGAAGAAGAGTGGTTCGACCGGCCGGAGAGCGTGGAGTGTGTGACAAAGGTGAGGACGATCGGAGAAGAAAACTGGCGGTGATTTGCATGGGAGGCGGTGGTGGAGATGAAGGGTCACCTGATGTCGTATCCGGTGGAAGTGGATACTATGGGCCGGGTTGTGCCGCTTCCTGGGTTTGCGACGTTTCCGGATGTTGGTGGGAATATCTTGGGCTCGTATATATCGTTGCTACAGGATCTGAATATTTGGGACCCAAGGAAGTGGAAGCTGCCATGGGAGGAAGGCGATTGGGGGTGCATTCGCGCAGTAGAGAAACAGATTGTGCAAATGGCTAGAAGCCGCCGACAGCGGTTAAAGAAGAGAAGAAGACGAAGTTGGATTTAGATTATGGAAATGGCTAGAAATCGCCGACTGCTTCTGGTTCGGTGGAAAAGAAGATCCTTGCGCCGACAGAGTACTACCCCAAGGCAGAGAGGCTCGAAGGCTGGAGGACGCAAAATCGGGGGATTTGGGGAAGAGGATTTGCGGGAATGGGGAAGAGATTTCACCGCTTCGATCGGAAAAGGGTAGATGGATTCGTGGGAATGGAAAAGTTGGGGAAGAACCCTAAAATCGGAATTGGGGAAGATGGTCGTGCGAAGGAGATGGGGTACATGAGGGTAATTTTTATTATTATGATGTATAAATATTAAATAATTGAAATATCTGATGGGTCACTATTTGCTTATTTGGTGCTGACGTGTCCGCTGAGTTGGCGCATAGTTAGCGAACCATCAAATAAGTTGACGGTGTTAATAACACCGTTAAAGTATCTAACGGAAATTGCTATATTTGTTCTACAACGATTTTAAAACTGGCTATAAGTGGTATTTTTTCAAATTTTGCTATTATTGGGACAAACGCTAAAGTTTTTGCGTATTTTGTCTAAAAAAAATGACAAACACTCTCTCTTCTCTCTTTGCGTTTCTCGCGCCTCCTAGTTCCTATCGCCGCTGCGACGGCGAAGATCTTCAACCCTAGAGTTTCTATGGCAGAAACCAAGGTGAATCCAGCGTATAAAGTACGGCTGGCAATGGAAGGAATAGTCAAGTCCTCGGTCGTGGAGCGGTGGAATCGGCTTGTCCGTAATCAAATGGAAATATGAGAATCCCAGTGTGGACTCGGGATAAAGATGAGATAACCACATGAGTTATCTGGTGTTTAGCAAGCCAATAAAAGAATTGGCGAAGTTTAATCAATAGGAGGAGGAGTCTTCTCCAAAGACGGAACTCGGGATTTTAGAGCCGGACGCTTATTTAAGAAAGATGAATCAGTGGCAGTATCGCCATCAGAAGAGAATCATGGTTGCGGAAGAAGAGAATAAGTAGCAAATAGGCTGGATTCGAGGGAAGAGCAGAAGCTCGCATAAAATTGGTATGCTAATGTTGAGTTGGGTTTTATTTTTGTTGTTATTTCGTTTATGGTTTTACCCATTTGTTGGGATCTTGAGGAATTGGTTTTGGAATTGGGGGATGCAGATCATGCAGAACCAGAAAGAAGCTGTCGATTTGGTGCAGGAGAAACTGATGGAACATCAGGGAGTCCCTCCGAAACATGAAATTGGTGAACTAAGAAAAGAATGGAGATAGATCTACGCAGGAAGTGAATAGGGTTGCAGATGATCAGATCGTGCAATTCTCTATGGAAGATGTGGAAGTCGGGATGCTAGGGTGAAATTGAGTCTGTTGGGAAGACTTTTCATGGAGAATTCGCCCAGCCTAGCGGTGATCCATAAGGTTGTAACAGGAGCCTGTAATTGCAAGGTTCAAGTGATGGAGGTTGAATTGGGGTTGTTGCAGTTCTTTTTCGTCACTGAAGAAGATCACGATTGGGTCCTGCAAAGGACTCCCTGGTCGGTTAAGGAGCGTGTTCTGCATCTCCAGCCGTAGATGCCAATAACCAGAGTAGTGGTCGAGTCTTTTGAGACGGTACCTTTCTGGGTACAGATGTGGGATATCCCCTCCATTGTCGGACAACAGCCTATGGCAGACGGGTAGCGGGAAAATATATTGGTGAGGTCATTGATGTTGGAATGTTTGCTATCAAGGGTGAACCTGGGCATTTCATTAAGGCCAGATGCAAGGTGAATGTATTCGAACCATTGCGCTCTCAAGTTTATGCTAGCAATGAGCAAATTGGTGAATTTTGGGTGTCGTTGATATATAAATTTCTTCCTCTGTTCTGCTATAATTGTGGGAGATTGGGGCATAAAGCGCCTCAATTTAAATTTTTGGATCTTGTGGGAGTGGAATACTATGGTCCAGAGCTTTCTACTAATATCACAGGCCATCGCTTGGATGAACAGTCCAAAATACCGGTTCACCTACTACCGACAATTCCCAAGTCGGTGTGGGTTAATCCTGGAATAAAGGGGATTGCTACTGGGATTGCTATGGAAGGAAGCAAATCAGGTGATGGTGCTGGAGGGAGTTCGATGCAGAGGGCACAAGGAGCCACAGGGGCTGTTGCTGCACAGATTGCTTGGCTGGAGCAGGGGGTATGAAGCCAATTGTCGAAAAAGAGTTGGAGTAAGGTGAAGATGTGTTGTATGAGGGGAAACAAAGATATTTTGGTCGAGGACAGAAAGACTCGTTTGTCCAGGGTGGTGCTAGGAATCGCGGTCGAGGTGCTGGTGGATATTTTCGTGGTCGTGGTAAACCTTATCCTGAGCATCCTGCTGCCGCGACTGCCAATTTTGGATAGGTTAGTTTGGAGGAATGAGATGGTTGGTATTTGGTGAAGTTGGGCTATCACACTACAGTGCAGCTAAGGCGTGCGAAGGGGAGGTGGAAGACAGAAGTATCCTTCTGAATAAAAGTTTCTGGAAAAGGATTTGGAACTTTCCGATTTCGCCAAAGCTAAAGCTTTTTCTTTGGCAGTTCATGCGTCGTATTCTTCCTACAATGAAGGCCTTGAGGGAAAAGGGCGGTATTGATCAGGTAGAGTGTTCAGTTTGTGGTGATCCTTTAGAATCTTTAGAACATTTATTCTTGACTTGTAGAGTGGCAGCGGATTTATGGGTGAGCTTTGGTTTGATGGGGGAAAGACAAAGATTGGAGGGATTGAATATTGCTTTGATGTTTAGACGTATTGTTTAGAGGAATGATGACCTGGGAAGGATTATGCGCTATGGAGGATTTGGAAATCTAGGAATTGGGTAGTATTTGATCATTTGCAGTATACTACTAGTTCGCTAGTTCGTCGGTTTCAATTTCAGGTAAGGGAAAGTTTGGAATTGCCGAACCAGGGGACAGGGAGAGTGTCGGCTGGGGGTGCGCAAGTGGCGGAGGTTCTGATCCCTGCGCCATTCTCGTGTTTTGTTGATGGGGCAGTTTGTTTGGGGTCGCATTCCTCTGGTGGTCTGGTTGTCCAGGATCAAGAGGTTTCTATCCTTTTTGTGAATGGATTCGTTTATGAAGGTTTGACAGACCCGTATCTAGATGAATTAATGGAGTTCTGGTATGCATTCGCTGGTGCTCTTTGAAGGGTGTGACAGAGGTTGCTTTCTGGGAGATGTGCAAGCCGTTATTTCCAATATCAGAGACCAGGATGTTCGTGATGCTAAAGGAGGAGTGATTCTTGAAGAAATTTCTCAGTTACGTCTAGCTTTTACAGGATTTTACATTGGGTTTTGGGGAAAAATCCAAAACTACCACTGTTTAAAAAAAATTACAAAAATACCCCCCACTCCCAATAATTTCCAAAAATACCATCGTTTATTTAAAACCACGCATCTAATGAGCGGTTTTAATTTAAACCGCGCCTCCTGCATCGGTTAATGCACAAAACGCGCCTCCAAGGCACGGTTTGACTCTTCATGGCTGTCAAACCGCGTGGCCACGTGGCGGTGCATCAGACCGCGCGATGGGGGAGCGATCTGACGGCCAAACCGCGTGCCAGCTCAGCGATCCGCGTCGCTCAGTCAAACCGCTCCCCCGAAGCGTGGTTTGACTGTTGGGTAACGCAAACCGCGCGTTGGAGGTGCGGTTTTAGGCGGGGTAAAAGGACGAAACCGCCCCTCCCTCACGCGGTTTCGTCCCTATATAAACCCCCCTTCCCCCTCCCATTTTCTGCACACCAAACCCATTCCCCCCTCTCTCCCTCTAACTTCTCAGTCTACCCACCCCCTCCCCACCCAAAAACCTTAGAATTAGTTATTTTGTTGGTTGCGGCTAAGTCCGATCTGCCTCCAAAAAACTTTTTCTTTGGTTTTCACTAAAAAACCGTCGAACCTCTGTCCGGATTTCGAAAAAATGGCCGATTTCGCCCAAGAAGAGGGCCTTTTCTATGATGATTATCAAACGGTACGTACTCATTTTACCCAATTGTTGTTGTTGTTATAATGATTTATTTAATTTATATACTAATTGATTTATGTTGTTGTTATGCTATCGCAGGTTGGACCGGATGTTGATATTTACAATCAACGATATTATGTTGATCAAGGACCGATTGATCCGACTATTTTATACGATCAATCTAATTATCGTTCAAGAGACGTTTGGAACGACCACAAGGTACATATTATTTATCATCACTTGTAATTTGTATTTTGTTAAAGTAATTTATTTGTTTGTACAATAATTTACTTAATTGTTAATCGTATTGATTATTTTCAATAATTTAAATCAATACAATACAACACTTATTTAGACTCTTTATAAAGAAATGCATGTCAAAAGAAATGGGGACTTAAGCGATCATCATGATCCCCCCATGACCTGGAAAAATCAGGTTCTAAGCGATCCTCGGATCCCCCCTTTTTCTGTCAAAAAGACTGTGTTTCTAAGGAGATGTATACCTCTCCTAAGAGTCTTATGAGTGTACTTGTATTGCTTTAAATTATTGAAAATAATCAATACGATTAACAAAATAATATGATGTACAAAAAATAATTGATTTTAAATTATTGCTTTAAATTATTGATTTTATGTGTATGTGTACAAAAAATAATCAATATGATGTATACCTCTCCTAGCTTTGCATCCCTCATTTTCATTTTTGCATCGAACCATCAGTCTCTTTGTGTCGGAATGGGTTGTTTGCCATTCAAAACTCCGAGTCATTTCTTTAGTGGAAATAGCGTGTCGAACCTCATTCTTCGTTGCAAATTGTTGGCCCTTCGTAAAGCCAGTGAGTGGACCCCATACACAGTCGCGAGGTACCTCATCACCATCTGCGTCTGAATCTGGACAGGAATCATCAGCACCTTCCAGCGGATCGAAGCTGTCTGCACTAACTTCGCATTCCTCTTCTTCAACCTCAGGGTCACTAACTGGACTTGGATTGACCTCTTCTTCCATCTGATTATCATCATGAAAGGCACCTTCACCTTCACCGGCTCTGTATGGTAGTTGTGGTAACTAACACTGCTTTGATAGAAGTTGTACTCGGGTGGATACTGGTAGCCTACTTGTTGGTTGTGATCCGCCTGTTGAGCTTCTTCTTCATATGAAGGGAAGGATTGATGACATCCTCCAGTTCCATGATGATACTCCTGCCTCCAGCTCGAGTCTTGGAAATCCTGGTGGGGATGATCTTCGTATAATACACTCCCACCGTGGATACCAAATATTTGGCCATTTCCAGAATGACCTACACTTCCTTTGACGGCCTCGGTGTAAACGAACATCTCCGCTTGCTTAATTTTATTGGTGGTCAAAAATTGGACCATGGCATCAACGTCCTCCTGAGTGGTAAGGAGGAATTCCTCATTCCACAGCTACCCGTCATGTCTGTTTGGATATCGATACACCATTTGATCAACTCTTCTAGTGCCATCCATGCAGGTAATCTGAGTGCACATTTGGTGGAGCTCTTCAAGCATCGGTCTCGTACGGACCTTCATTTTATAAAATTGCCACCGACGTAACTTACACCCTTTTCGGTCTCTTCCGTGTAACCATTCCACCGCAACCCAAGCGTGAACCTTTGGAATGCCATCTGCAATGAAAAGTAATGCAAGTTACTAACATAAAATCACAAAGGACAATGAAAAGTAATTAAGTTACTAACATAAAATCATAAAGGACAATGAAAAGTAATTAAGTTACTAACATAAAATCACAAAGGACAATGAAAAATAATACAACACAAACTTACGAATTAACGTTAATCGCAAAAACAAAATAATTTAAAGATGCAAAGCTGAAATTTGAAGAAGAAAGAGGAGGAGTGTGAAGAATTTGAGTTCTCTGAAACAGCCTTTTAGGTCTACCATGCAGCCCCACCCCCTGCATGTCCGACATGTTTGCTTTCGGGTGACCAGGCACAAACCGTGCCTTGGGGCAGCGGTTTATGTCTGGACATGGTAAACCGCCGCCTGGTGGGGCGGTTTATCATGCCGACATTTAAACGCTCCCTTTTGAAGCTTTTTGTGGTAGGGTTAGTATATAACTGTGCCTTCCAGGAGCGGTTTGGCAGGGCGGTTATATTCTAAACCGCTGCCAGGAGGCGCGATTTCAATTAAAACCGCTCATTAGAGGCGCGGTTTTATATAAACGATGGTATTTTTGGAAATGATCGGGAATGGGTGGTATTTTTGTAATTTTTTTTTAAACAGTGGTAATTTTTTTCCGGTTTTGGGGCAGACAAAACAATCGAGCGGCTCATGTTGTAGCCAAAAAAGCTCTTTCTTTGTTTTTTTTATAATGGTGAAATAAGTTAACAAAAAAAGGAGAGTCCTTACAAGAGGGGAAAAGGGAAAACAGGAACAAAGGCAAATGAAAAGCTTCCAGCCACATCAAGGCGGGCAAGGACAGCACCAAAACAAACAGAAAAAAAAAACTGTGGCAAAAAGCCAAGAGCTGCAAACGCAAACCAAACTAAAGATCAAAGCTGCACGATAGTGGTAATCTGTATAGTTCTGGGTAGAAGGTGGAGTTTCAGATGATGAAGCCAAAGGTCCACCAAAGCTCGATCCACCTTGCACCCAACGGTGAGCCTCTGTGTCCTTTAGCTCTTTCTTTGTTTCCTGCAGGTTTGGTGGGTTTTGATTTTCGGTCATGGTTTTTGTTTGGTTTGTAAATGGAGGTCTATATTTCTTGGTAATACGAGTGAGCTTTTGGCAAAAAAAAAAAACCTTTTTCCAACGTGTGTGGGTGGTGGGCTGACTTTTTCCCGAAAGTTTGGTAATAGCAGGCTTGAGGATTAATAAAGGAGCCCAATTTTAAGCAGCAGACCATCCAATCTCGTATAATATAACAGGCTTGATTATGAGGCCTTGTGTTGTGGGTCTGACCAGCATAGGGTCTGGGCCGGTTCTGGTTTCTCCTATCTGGCTTCCTGCCTTGGCATCTTCACCTGGGACTCCCTTTGAGAACACATCGGAACTCCTCCAGGTAAGCTTGTGATCGTGTGATTACCTCTCTCTCGTCAAGTTTCTTATTATTGAACATATGGTTGTTGCATTCTTTCCATAGAAACCATAGAGTCATCACCATCACACATAATTCCTCATCTGATACCTTCTCACTTAATCCACATAGCCACTCTTCACTTGATTTCTCCTGCCCTTCATAAAAGAATTTACCTAGTGCACTTGGCCTCCAAATTCGTCTAGCCCAATCACAATCTCGTAGGATATGTTCTTGTGTTTCCTGTAACCCAAAAAATGGACATTCGTCATTTGCATCACATATCCTCTTGGTTAAGTTCACTCCCATAGGCAAAATATTACAGCCCCATCGCCATAGAAATACTCTGACTTTCGGGGGAAGGTGGAGATGCCACATTCTTTTCCAATCCACAGGGGTGTATATTTACCCTTCATTTGCATTCCTTCTTTTCCTCCACTCATGGTAACCTGACTTAAATTTCATGGTATCGAAGCAATCTATGATCAAGATTCAAGAAAGCGCTAAGCGTAAGGCGAGCGTTGGGACCCTGCCTAATGCTTAAGCGCGCCAAAGCGTCGCCTAGGCATTGGAAGCGAAAATAGTCGTTTTTAGTAAATGATGAATGAACTAGCAATATTAAAGCACTTTCACATTTCTGTGTACATAGTTAATAACTTAGTTAACACTTAACAACAAGCGATAGGATAAATGAAACAGTACTTAACAACCTCGTTTCTTTCAATCACACTAAGTACATTTGTTGTATCTTTTCAAATTTAAAACATATAATAGCAGGGAGGAAAAAACTCTTCCCCCATTTCAAATTCCCTACTCTATGAGGGTTTGTAGGAAGGGTAGAATAGGGAATGTCAATTTTTTTCTCTTTCCTCTGTGGAACGGGCCAACTTACCGTACACATGCGGATTTAAACGGGTCGAGAAGTGTCAATTTTTTTCTTTAAGCCCTTTATTTCTCCGTGGTGGTAAAAATATATATGAAAATGCAAAAACAATACTCCTTTTTATTGCTAAAAAGAAAATTTTAACAATAACATAATGCATGGATTCTAATGAGCTAACCGCTAACGATAAAATTAAAGAGTTGAAAGGGCCTGACCTACCCCGGATTTGACCATCAAGTAAAACAAATGAACATCATGGGTTTGTCATTCTAAAACAAGCTATTTTCTCTAGCATAATATATATTATGCTATTATTTTATATCCGAGTGGCTAAAATATAATGTATTTTAAAGTTATTCAATGGTTCAACCTCGACCAACCCAACTAGTCCAATTTTTATCATTTCAAATATATATTATGTAATTATTTGATATCATAATGATTAAATTATAGTGTATTTTATAGGGAATCGTT